TGGATAGAAATTTGAGCTGATATCTGCTGGTGGTATGTGTGGGCCTAAAAAAAAAATTATGGCTGCACCTCAATACCGAGCAATGCTGCAAATCATTGTTTTCATTACCAAATTAGACTTTCTGAAGCCCGATAACTGCATAACTCATCGGCCTGCGTTATACCTTTACCAAATGGTGCCCCCCTTCACAAGCAGAAGCATCAGGTCGTAGCACGAATAGTAGCAAGTGCAGAGAGCAACCACACCCACCTCCCCTTTCCAAAGCCTGTCGATGGTACCTCTCCTGAATTTGCTAAGGGTACCTATCAACGCTAACAAATGGTAGCAAATTTGCCTCCCTGGCATCCACCAGTGCCAATTTAATATCGAAACGAATAGCTGATACTTGCAGGCTCTTCTTACATTTTAAGGTGACATGAGGCAAGAGTTAGGCGTCAAACATAGACGCAGATCAAAGAAGGAACCATCATGAGCGACCCTGATGTAAGGCTGCAATATGGCTAGCATCAGAACTTCACAGAAGTGAAGCTCACTCCACACCGCTTGTAAACCAAACAATCATGAGAGCAGGCTTTGGCCAGCTTCGAGCTTCAACAGCGCGATAAATGCAGTCTACTGCTTCTTATTTCAGAGATGCAGTCGAGCCAACCTGCTGGATACTGCTCCTCGAGAGTTTGATCCCAGTGCGGAAGATATTTGTGATTCCAGTGATAATACTTCCCATTATCATGTTCAGGATTTCCATACCATGGATAATAGAATATCTGTATTGAATTTTCGCTTATATCCTGAAAATCAACAATTTTAGACCAAAATTATGCAAAATAAAAACTTTTTTCTTCATGAATAAAGAGTAACAGAGATAGCGATGCATCAGAATTGCTGATGCGATCATGCTTTTTTGCACGATTCCATTCTGCACAGAGTTCGCCTGTACTGGGATTGCGCGATACTGCAATTTGAGCATTTGCTGCGCTTGTATGCAGCACATATGCTCTAAGCAAAAGCTCGTTTTACGTCTATTGACTTGTACACGAAAAGGCACTCAATTTTGCTACGGAATTAATCAGGCACCAACAGCACCCCAAACTAAACTTCATTTACTTGAACATGCTTTAAAGCTTAAACTAAAGTATCCCGGTCACAAATAGGTAGAAAATGTCTTCGCGAAATTTCAACTTCCTAGCTTAACTGGTTGGCAAAGTCGCATTGCATTACAAATATTTTTGACTGTCCAAACGCATCAAAAAGATGAGCGCCAAAGATTATTTTATGGTACGTGCCTGTATACGAACAAAAAATATTCCCGTAAAGACAAAGCGCTTCACTCAGTCTGATTGTCAAGGCGACATTTCGTCAACAGTGTCTTGATTTCAACTTCGATGTAGGCATGCATGACAGCTGAATTTGAAATATTTCGTTCACATATGAACAGAAAATATCCGCTTGGATTTATAACTTCCTATCCTGTTTTCCCACCAAAAAATTTCTACTTTTTTTAAATGGCCAAATATGAGAAAGTGGACGTTGATTCTACGTTGTTTGGGCGCATGTAAGCTGAGAGCATCCTTGTGAAATTTCAATTTCCTAGCTTCTGCGGTTGCTAAACTGAATGTGAATTCCAGCACACACACACAAACACACACACATACATACATACACACACACACGCAATGACAACCTCGTGCCAATATGCGTTCCCGCATTAGCAAAATAAGGCAAAAACGTTTTTGTGTTTGCATGAAAATGCAAGAATGTATAAATAACCAAAATAAATTGCTTTCTTGATAATGAACTAACATGAAGACGGGAAACAGCTGTGGAGATGGCCTGGTCTTCAGCAAACGAAAAATCCGGTTCTACCGGCACCGCTGAATTATTTCTGTTCATATTTGATAGCTGAAACTTCGCATTCCGAGCTGCAACATATTTCGGCAAATATTCCTAAAATCGAAAGCAATTTAGGCACAGCCATAACTCCGCTAACAATTTTGAATACAAAGCAACAGATTAAAGGCCCCCGTACCGACTGAATCCCACTGCAGATGCCTGTTGGTACGGGGGTACACGCGTGAAGACATAAGCAAAAGGAAACAAATATGCTGTGAAACGAATGAGATATTGTCAACATCTCCAACTGAAAAGGAATAAAAAAAAAAACAGAGAAATGAGGTACTACTGCTTCGGTCACAGCAATCACGAAAATCGATGGCATGAACAACAAAACAACAAGCAAATGGGG